AACCCACTAGGACCTACCATCCTCCCTAAACAAACAAACATGCCAAAAGCTAGTTTGGGTAAGGGGAATCAAACCATATATATATAGAGCATAATAACTATCAAATTAGCAATGTGGAATAAATATAACTTTTAACATAGGAAATTTTTGGATATTATAAAAAGAAATTGTATGAATTTATAATTTGGACTTTAGGTAAACATCTTTTATTCAAACACACATAGATAAACACTTAGAAACCGATTCAGGCGTTTGTTAACGATAAAAGATGTGATAGTACGTAAATACTTTTTATTATAATTAATCTAAAATCACGTGTTATATTCATAGTTAAAAACTTAAAAATCAATAATAAAAAAGTTATTATGGGGTTATATAAAAGTAAGATATCTTTTTTCTTGATCTATTTCGGAAATAGAAAATATTACCTTGTTCTATGAGTGGAGATGTGTAAGTCTGCCAAAAAAAAAAAACCAAAAAACTTCTTAAAAACAAAAAAAAAATAATTAATTAAATAAAAAAATTAATAAAATAAAGTAAATAAGAAAAGAGAAAGTGATAACCCACACCTCTCTTGTTGCAGCCTTTACAGTACTCTTGTTTCCATCTGACATCTCTATTTTTTTATTTAAAATTTTATTATTATATTATATTAATTATTTATTTATAATCTTTGCACACTTTTCAGTGTCTCACTTTTATTTCTCTGTCCCATAATTATTTTTAATACTTTTTCAAAAATAAAGAGATAAGGACCTAATATTATATTTTTAAGTTTTGGTGTTAATAAAAAAGTTTAAGGGTAATTTAATAATATTACAATTTATAACATATTAATTAATGGTTCATTTTGTTATCTTAGAAACTTAAAAGAATTTTTGTTATATGATATAATAAGGTCTATGTCACTAAAAAATATTTTATCTTTTTTTTTTTTTAATTCTATGATAAAATATATATTATGTATTTATGCCTAAAAATACTTTTCTATTACACATCTACAATAATTTTTTTTATTAGGGTTTTATTTTAATTGCGTCACTTTATGGTAAATTTTTTCAATTAAGAACAATAAATTAATTAATTGATTTATATTTTGGGGTGTCTTCCCTTGCATTGTAATTTGTACACACCTCATTAAATTTTAGGAATAATTTGTCAAATATTCAAAATAAAATAAAATAATTATTTGATGGAGATTATTCCACCCTAATGCATCTTTAACACTATATTTTCATTTAAGAAGAATTTTATTTTCACTTGGTAATTGGTATTTAAGAAATTATTATATTCTTCTAAAAAAAGGAGAAATACTAAAATTAAAATGATTAAAGCATAAAACCCTTCTCAACACTTCAAAGGACAATTATCAAAAAACAAAATAGCGATAAAATCAAGTGTGACTTTATTGCCCTTAATAAGACATGAACGATATATTCTCAAGCAAATTCAATACCCTAAATTTATATGATGTTAGCCCATAATATCTGATTAGAACATGTTAGATGGCTAGATATCGTTAACTGCGTAATCTAGTATTTACGAGAGAGGAAATGTAATATGTTTGTTCTTCGTTGGCGTTATTAGTAAGGGCAATAAAGTCAATTTAGATGGTTTTATGCACGAACTTTCTTTATGTATCTCCTTAAAAAAATAATTTAAAATAAAACCGATCAAAGGGGTTTTTTGTTTAACTTGTAAAAGTATTTGATCAAATGAATTTTACAAAGAGAGGGAGAGTGAAGTGTTGACTATCAATAACCCCGCTCTTTGTTTCGCTTGAAAACCCTACTCTCAATTCCACAAACACTTCAAAAACACTTTTTAATGTTTTTTGACAACAACAAAAATCAAAAACAAAACAAACCCTCAAAGACTCAACTTAACCCACACTACTCCTTTCTTTTCTCTCTTTACACCTCAAAATAGCCAGAAGCCACCCAAGAAAGCAAAAGAGCTTGAACGAAAAACAAACAAAATGATGAATTTGATGCAACAGCATTTTGTTCAACAGAATCAGAAGCTTAGACCCAGAAAACGCTTCAAAAATCAGGTTTTATCCTCATTCGGACGTTAAAGATACAGATTTGTTGCGTTTAGCCGTAGGCCCTGAAACCCTTCTGCATCTTTGATTATCAAAGCCAAAATCAGTTGGGACTTTCGGCAAACACTTTTTCTGCACCCACTTCACCTTTACCTAACCCCATTGTAGACTCGGCAACACGGCAAACAACAATGTTAACACAAACCCATTTGCGAAACTATCTCCTAGAGTTGACAATGGGATGCGTGAGTTCGCAAAGACTCATCTTTACCTGACCCAAAGTCAAGTCCTTTCCTTCATATGAAAACATACGTGCAGGGTCTTGTTTGGTGCCTCCGCATCTAAAAAATGTTGGGGTTGTTGTCGGTGAGAGTGGTAGTGACTTTATGGATGGCTTCGTTTAATGATTATCTTTCATTTTTGGACGAGTCCTCAAAAAACGAGGACTTTATTGGTGGAAAAGTCAACTGGGGTTTCGATGGGGATTGGGTGGGGATGTGATAATGTAGATACCCATTTTCATAGAAGAAGTTTCTCAGCTAGTTGATGCATGTTTTGGTAGTGAAGATTCAAATTTTAATGTGGGTTATAAGCCTTGTCTTTACTTTGCTAGAGCTTTTGCAAGAACGGTGACAATTGCAGGTTTGTTCATAGCCATTTTAATGAGAATGATGGAAATGGTTTTCTGGTTGGTTCTCCTAGCAAAATGGAGGGTGTTTCTGCAACCTGAAGATATGATGAGAATGAAGGAGCTTTGCAGCAGCAGAGATTGGCTGCTCACAGTTTGGGCCGGAGTTTCGCCGCCATCGCCTTATGACTTTCTTTTGCAACAACAAATGTAACCAGAGGTATGATAGACTACCCATTTTGCTTTGTTTCTTTGACTCTTTGACGTTGTTTTGTATAGGTCAACACATCAATTTGTTTTGGTTTTGGATAAAAAAAATGACCAAAAAGCATATGAGATGTCTCATTTAGCCTTTGCCTTTGTGTGCCATGTATTTGTTATACTATACTGATAATTGTTTGAGTTTGTTTTGGTTTTTAGTTTGGGTATGGATTGTGGTTGGTGTTGTTTTTATGGGATTTGCAGTTTTAAAAGACTGGACAGCTTTTCATCAACATATCTCTATTTGTGTAATACAAATGTTTTGTTTTAAGGTTTAGTAGTGTTTGCTATTAGTCTTGTTTCATGGCATTTTGATTTATCAAGAGTGGCCGCCGCAGCATTGCTGTTAGGTGATGAACTTTACAAGTTCGGCCATGGCCGAGCAGAAAGGAATGACTTTTTGGCAATGGGATTGGAGAGAAGGGGAGCTCGGCGAATAGACAGATCTACTTGACATTCCCAGCAGATAGCACATTTAAGGATGAAGATGTTTCTAATTACTTCAGGTAACTTACCGCACTTTATCTTTATTTATTCATTTTTGTTTTATGGGGATAACGCTTTGGATCATTGAACATATATTATGATGATGTATTGATATAGTGCTGCATTAGAATGATTCAAAATTATCTCTACTTGGATTGGTGCTGAGAAGTTCCAATATTTTTCAAATTTTTTTCTCAGTGAACATGAATTATCCTTGAGGCTGGAAGCTTATGTAGTTTGGGACTGAAGCCTGTAATTTCCTGCCATTTCTACTGTGATTTAGTCTGAAACTCTTTCAGTTTAGATCATGGCCTGTAATTTTCCACTATTACTATTCTGATATTAGTCTTGATATTGAAGATCAATTCTTAACTTAACACTTCCCAATTCTTGGCTAGGATGGAACTCTTGGTGGAGCATGAGATACACTTAATAATTTTATTTTATTTATTTTATTTTTTTTATTTTATTTTTTTTTTACATTTTGTGAATTTACTTTGCAACCTATCTTTCCGGTGCAATTAAATATTTATTCACTTCATTTCACCTTTTTAATATAGCTAGCATAGTAATACTATTAGGTTTGTACCTATTATTAATTAAGAAAATGCTATTCTTACAAAGACCTATACAAAAGAGGCTACAAAGTGACATCATCCAGAAGAAAAAACAAAGAAAAAACGGAAAAAAGAGAGGAGAGAGAAATCAAGAAAATCAAGGGTGGGGATTGTCTTTGTATGCCCCCTTTGTATGTGTTTTTGTAAAACTAGCATTGCTCTTTAATTAAGGGATGCCAATCCTCTCTGTGGTGCTGTTGATTACATTTGGCCTTCATTTTGCTGCTTTTTTGTCATTTACAGTCTTTGCAAATAGCTTATTTGCCACGATTCATTTTTATTTTAGTTTGAAGGCTGCTACCCTTTTTTTTGCTGTTCACTATGATGGCAATATACCTGTCTGCCTCAGTTGGCTGAGAACAACATTTCCGATGTGAATTTATAATAATTCTAACTAAGAGAATCTACTGTTGATTTATTGGACATCAAGAACTGGCATTATGTTATCTATCAGATTATTTGAAAAATGCATTTTATCATTAATCAATCAAAAACACAGGTTGAATGATCTTTGTACGTACTTGTTATCTAGCTACAATCTCTTGCTTTCTCCAAAATTTATTTAAGATGAATTTTCTTCTTGGCTAAATTTAAAGTCACTGCTATATACTATTATAGTGCTGCACTTTGAAGGTCACAGTTTATTGTGCTGCTAGACTTGATTATATGCCACAAAATATGGATTGGATTTTGAATAAAAGCACCCTTGTAAGCATGCTCATGTAAGCTGTGCCTTCCACTTGAGGGGTGTTCTCTGTGTTTTAGTTTGTTCTTTACAATGTATAGACAAATATGGTGATGATTATTTTGGCTGCTCCGTTAATTGGACCCTTTTCTTTCACTGTTCTTCAAAAACTCCATGTCATTGAGAATATGGTTACTTCATAGGCTTGAAATTTAGAAATTTTACCGAAATTTTTTTTCCTTTTTTTTTTGTTTTTTTTTTTTTTTTTTTTTTTTTAAGCACTTTTGGACTAGTGCAAGATGTGAGGATCCCATACCAGCCGAAGCGAATGTTTGGGTTTGTCACTTTTGTCTACGCAGAGACTGTGAGACGCATTTTGGCCAGAGGGAATCCTCATTTTATATGTGATTCACGTGTGCTTGTCAAGCCCTACAAGGAAAAAGGAAAAGTTGCCGAGAAGTATGTCATTTTATGTCTCCTTTGTTATTTCATTCTGTCTTGTCATCATCTGCATTGGAAGCTTAAATTGTTGATGGAATTATTTCAGGAGGCAACAGCAGTTTGACAGGGGGAATTTGTCACCATGTTCAAGCCCTTCTGGGGTTGATTCCAGAGATCCATATGACCCTCTTGGTAAGTAAAGAAGAAAGCATGCATTTTCCCCAGCAGTTACCCTCTTAGTGGCTTATTGGCTTCCGGAAAGAATAATAGAAAGGAGAATGCATAAAATAACTCTCTGTTATAATATCTTGGCATTTCATTTCATATCCTTGTTCCCTTTACTTTCTTAAATAATTAGTTAATATAATTTGATATTCATTTTATCTCCATTTACAGGAGCAAAGATGTTCTACCAAACACAGGACATGATGTTGAGAAGAAAATTTGATGAGCAACTTGAGCTGCAGCAAGCGATTGAATTCCAAAGGAAAAGGCTTATGAATCTACAACAGCCGAATTTGAAGAATCAGCCTATTAACCATCACCAGCGTAGTCTATCAGTTGGCAATCCTGTCACCTTACCTACTCAAAATGATATCAACCAGAATCTTGTTCTTCCATCTGGTGTTATCAATCAAGAAGTGTCGGAAGGTATTTCGATTTGATGTTAGTTATTTAATACCATTTGGTCAATTATGAATAGTTGGGGAAACATGCATTGGCTAATTTTAATTTTGTGGCTGTCATAGGTGGTAGCTCAATTGCCAATGTTCCCTTAACCATCGCTGCTGATATGGAGCTACATACTCAGCCAGAACTGAAGCAAGCTCATCTTGAGAAGGATGGTTGTGGCGATACGAAGGAGGAAAGCTCCAACCCAGTAGGGTGTGATCTCCATGAACGGTTTGAATTTGACCATAGTTTTTGGTTTTCATTCAAGTCCTATTGTATACTGCTTTATGTCTTCAGGGTTGCTGGTTTTTGCTTCTCTTGATTTCAACTTCGTTCTCATGTTATTTTCAATTTTTTTCCCTTTCAGAAGTCATGGTAGCAGCATCGAGCTCACTCTCCCTGATAACCTCTTTGCTTCTACAAAAAAGCCAGCCGAGGGTAGCACACCCGACTTATCCACTGCAGCAGCAGTCAATGAAAGCACTGGAATCTCAGCCTCACCCTCTTCTGAAAGTAACCTAGAAATGCCCTCTACTTCTGTGACTGACATGGCTTCACGTTAATATTTTTCTTTTTCAATGCCAAGGTTCTCTTACTTCTCTCAATCTTTATAATTTCTCTCCTAGTATAAAAACAATAATAGAACGTAGTTCATTGTAATTTAGACACACTTTTAACTTTTTCCTCAGGTTTTATGATGGGCATGAAGCTATCCAAATGTAGGTAATAAAGGTGAGCATTGCTGATCCAGATACCTGCTATTATAACTTAGCATCTTTAAAACCATTTTCAGATATAATCGTTAACACCATTTTTTTGTTCATGCAGAAAAGTAGAAAAGCATATACAAGAAGAAGAATCCTCTAAGATGTATAGCCAAATTATACCTGCACTGAAGAGTAGATCAGTAGAAGCATCAATACAAATACTACTAACAGCAAACGCATATTGGATACATAAACGGTAGACGAACTGATTCGTGATAGTAGGGCTTTTTCTCTTTTCTACTTTCTAGTTGTGTTCTTCATCATACAGACTATAAGCCTGAACTACAAGGGATTAAAACTCTTATTGCACAGTTATAAATACATAGTTTTCCCCCTTTTACCATCCTTCTCTTATCTCTTGTAAAGTTGGCCCAAAAAAGGACTGACTAAAAAAGAACTTGTCTGAGTAGAAGCAAACCTAGGGAGTCTCAATGAGCTGAAATAGGTAGTTTTGACACACCACTGGAAAATCAATCTCTCCTGACGAGAACTCTCGACTTGGAGCAAGAATGCCAGAATATTAACTGATTTCTGACTCTGCGTTGGAACTGAATCAACAATGTCCCGATATAGCCACCATTGGAACATTGTCCATACACCCATGCAAGCCAATGTTGGTGTATGGTTAATCATATTCCAGCACATTGTTGTGTTGGTGTACTGGAATTCAGTTCCGACAATGTTGTGCGTCGGAACATGTCTCATACAATCAATTTAATGAATGTGTTTTGGCCATTAAACTCTGCGTTGGTGCCAATGATCTGTGCACCAATGCTACGGCTTTTGTTTGGGATCACTGTCCGCAAAATCAACCGGGATGCAGGATTTTCATCTGTAGAGACATATTCTGCATTAGAGAAGGGCAATTCTTCCTGTGGTGATAGTAATTTTTCAAAGGGATTATTGTGTCACTTTTCTGGGTATTTTATGCTGTGGTTGATGGGAAATCATGGAAAGGAAAACAGTTTTTTAGATGAATAAAAAGTAGGAGAAATAAAGAAAGTGTTTTTTATGTTTTCAAAAGGGAGACTAATTTGTCTCATTTTATTTTTATCAGAGGGCCACATGTGGGATAAAGGCTACCAACATCACATGGGGCTGACAATAAAAAAAAAAAAAAATGGTAGCACAGAAAGAGAAGCAAACTTGTTTTTGTGAAATGTTTTTGAAATCTTTGTTTTATTAGTGATTTGAGTCCTCATGCTCTGACATTTGATTAGATTATTTTGTACCTTCTCATGTGCTTTACAGTCACATAAAAATTGCCCCCCCACCAAACATTTTTATGGATTTTGGAATTGAGTCTCATTCTAATGGTAATGGCCCTAATGGGGCCTTTATTGGTTTGGTTTGAATCTAATGGTTACAGAATTTTCAATCTCATTTCAATATGAAAAAATTGAACAAAATTACAAGTGGGATACAAAGATAAAATGAATTCAACCCAATATCAAAGATTTTGGAATTCAATTGAAATAGTTATCTACTTCGTAGGTTCTTTTTTTTTTTTTTTTTTTTTTTTTTTTTTCTATCAGGGGTATTTGGGTCAGCTCACGCGTAATTTCTTTGGGATCTTGAAGTTAATGATCAAGTAAACTTTCATTGACCATCTCTAATAGGGGTTGAGGTGAATTGAATTTAAGATCTTTTAAGTAATACACCCAAAAATCTTAGTTGATCATCGACTACCTAGTGTTGGTTATCTACTTCATAGGGTTGATTTCTTCTAAAGATCATTAAGTTTCGAAGTGTTTTAACGATTTTTGGAAATGATTAAATATATATTTTTTTAATTATTGAAAAACTCAAATGGAAAACTATATATAAAAATACGTTGCAAATAATTTTCGTAAATCGTTGAAGACGAAAAAGAAGTTAAAAGGGTATTTTATTTTTTAATACCTGAGGTGTCTATGTTAGTTTACGTGTACTTATTTTTTTTCTCAGTGAAGCATGAATTATCCTTGAGGCTGGAAGCTTATGTAGTTTGGGACTGAAGCCTGTAATTTCCTGCCATTTCTACTGTGATATTAGTCTGAAACTCTTTCAGTTTAGATCATGGCCTGTAATTTTCCACTATTACTATTCTGATATTAGTCTTGATACTGGAACATCAATTCTTAACTTAACACTTCCCAATTCTTGGCTAGGCTGGGAACTCTTGGTGGAGCATGAGATACACTTAATAATTTTATTTTATTTTATTTTATTTTATTTTATTTTATTTTTTTTTACATTTTGTGAATTTACTTTGCTACCTATCATTTCCGGTGGCAATTAAATATTTATTCACTTCATTTCACCTTTTTAATATAGCTAGCAATAGTAATAACTATTTAGGTTTGTACCTATTATATTAATTAAGAAAAATGCTATTCTTACAAAGACCTATACAAAGAGGGCTACAAAGTGACATCATCCAGAAGAAAAAAACAAAGAAAAAACGGAAAAAGAGAGAGAGAGAGAGAAATCAAGAAAATCAAGGGTGGGGATTGTCTTTGTATGCCCCCTTTGTATGTGTTTTTGTAAAACTAGCATTGCTCTTTAATTAATATGGATGCCAATCCTTCTCTGTGGTGCTGTTGATTACATTTGGCCTTCATTTTGCTGCTTTTTTGTCATTTACAGTCTTTGCAAATAGCTTATTTGCCACGATTCATTTTTATTTTAGTTTGAAGGCTGCTGTACCCTTTTTTTTGCTGTTTCACTATGATGGCAATATACCTGTCTGCCTCAGTTGGCTGAGAACAACATTTCCGATGTGAATTTATTCAATATAATTCTAACAAGAGAATCTACTGTTGATTTATTGGACATCAAGAACTGGCATTATGTTATCTATCAGAGATTATTTGAAAAATGCAAATTTTTATCATTAATCAATCAAAAACACAGGTTGAATGATCTTTGTATGGTACTTGTTATCTAGCTACAATCTCTTGCTTTCTCCAAAAATTTATTTAAGATGAATTTTCTTCTTGGCTAAATTTAAAGTCACTGCATATATACTATTATAGTGCTGCACTTTGAAGGTCACAGTTTATTGTGCTGCTAAGACTTTGATTATATGCCACAAAATATGGAGTGTGATTTTGAATAAAAGCACCCTTGTATGCATGCTCATGTAAGCTGTGCCTTCCACTTGAGGGAGTGTTCTCTGTGTTTTAGTTGTTCTTTACAATGTATAGACAAAATATGGTGATGATTATTTTGGCTGCTCCGTTAATTGGACCCTTTTCTTTCACTGTTCTTCAAAAACTCCATGGTCATTGAGAATATGGTTTACATTTCATGAGCTTGAAATATTAAATTTTACTGAGATTTTTTTCCTTTTTTTTTTTGTTTTTTTTTGTTTTTTTAAGCACTTTTGGACTAGTGCAAGATGTGAGGATCCCATACCAGCCGAAGCGAATGTTTGGGTTTGTCACTTTTGTCTACGCAGAGACTGTGAGACGCATTTTGGCCAGAGGGAATCCTCATTTTATATGTGATTCACGTGTGCTTGTCAAGCCCTACAAGGAAAAAGGAAAAGTTGCCGAGAAGTATGTCATTTTATGTCTCCTTTGTTATTTCATTCTGTCTTGTCATCATCTGCATTGGAAGCTTAAATTGTTGATGGAATTATTTCAGGAGGCAACAGCAGTTTGACAGGGGGAATTTGTCACCATGTTCAAGCCCTTCTGGGGTTGATTCCAGAGATCCATATGACCCTCTTGGTAAGTAAAGAAGAAAGCATGCATTTTCCCCAGCAGTTACCCTCTTAGTGGCTTATTGGCTTCCGGAAAGAATAATAGAAAGGAGAATGCATAAAATAACTCTCTGTTATAATATCTTGGCATTTCATTTCATATCCTTGTTCCCTTTACTTTCTTAAATAATTAGTTAATATAATTTGATATTCATTTTATCTCCATTTACAGGAGCAAAGATGTTCTACCAAACACAGGACATGATGTTGAGAAGAAAATTTGATGAGCAACTTGAGCTGCAGCAAGCGATTGAATTCCAAAGGAAAAGGCTTATGAATCTACAACAGCCGAATTTGAAGAATCAGCCTATTAACCATCACCAGCGTAGTCTATCAGTTGGCAATCCTGTCACCTTACCTACTCAAAATGATATCAACCAGAATCTTGTTCTTCCATCTGGTGTTATCAATCAAGAAGTGTCGGAAGGTATTTCGATTTGATGTTAGTTATTTAATACCATTTGGTCAATTATGAATAGTTGGGGAAACATGCATTGGCTAATTTTAATTTTGTGGCTGTCATAGGTGGTAGCTCAATTGCCAATGTTCCCTTAACCATCGCTGCTGATATGGAGCTACATACTCAGCCAGAACTGAAGCAAGCTCATCTTGAGAAGGATGGTTGTGGCGATACGAAGGAGGAAAGCTCCAACCCAGTAGGGTGTGATCTCCATGAACGGTTTGAATTTGACCATAGTTTTTGGTTTTCATTCAAGTCCTATTGTATACTGCTTTATGTCTTCAGGGTTGCTGGTTTTTGCTTCTCTTGATTTCAACTTCGTTCTCATGTTATTTTCAATTTTTTTCCCTTTCAGAAGTCATGGTAGCAGCATCGAGCTCACTCTCCCTGATAACCTCTTTGCTTCTACAAAAAAGCCAGCCGAGGGTAGCACACCCGACTTATCCACTGCAGCAGCAGTCAATGAAAGCACTGGAATCTCAGCCTCACCCTCTTCTGAAAGTAACCTAGAAATGCCCTCTACTTCTGTGACTGACATGGCTTCACGTTAATATTTTTCTTTTTCAATGCCAAGGTTCTCTTACTTCTCTCAATCTTTATAATTTCTCTCCTAGTATAAAAACAATAATAGAACGTAGTTCATTGTAATTTAGACACACTTTTAACTTTTTCCTCAGGTTTTATGATGGGCATGAAGCTATCCAAATGTAGGTAATAAAGGTGAGCATTGCTGATCCAGATACCTGCTATTATAACTTAGCATCTTTAAAACCATTTTCAGATATAATCGTTAACACCATTTTTTTGTTCATGCAGAAAAGTAGAAAAGCATATACAAGAAGAAGAATCCTCTAAGATGTATAGCCAAATTATACCTGCACTGAAGAGTAGATCAGTAGAAGCATCAATACAAATACTACTAACAGCAAACGCATATTGGATACATAAACGGTAGACGAACTGATTCGTGATAGTAGGGCTTTTTCTCTTTTCTACTTTCTAGTTGTGTTCTTCATCATACAGACTATAAGCCTGAACTACAAGGGATTAAAACTCTTATTGCACAGTTATAAATACATAGTTTTCCCCCTTTTACCATCCTTCTCTTATCTCTTGTAAAGTTGGCCCAAAAAAGGACTGACTAAAAAAGAACTTGTCTGAGTAGAAGCAAACCTAGGGAGTCTCAATGAGCTGAAATAGGTAGTTTTGACACACCACTGGAAAATCAATCTCTCCTGACGAGAACTCTCGACTTGGAGCAAGAATGCCAGAATATTAACTGATTTCTGACTCTGCGTTGGAACTGAATCAACAATGTCCCGATATAGCCACCATTGGAACATTGTCCATACACCCATGCAAGCCAATGTTGGTGTATGGTTAATCATATTCCAGCACATTGTTGTGTTGGTGTACTGGAATTCAGTTCCGACACTGTTGTGCATCGGAACATGTCTCATACAATCAATTTAATGAATGTGTTTTGGCCATTAAACTCTGCGTTGGTGCCAATGATCTGTGCACCGATGCTACGGCTTTTGTTGGGGATCACTGTCCGCAAAATCAACCGGGATGCAGGATTTTCATCTGTAGAAACATATTCTGCATTAGAGAAGGGCAATTCTTCCTGTGGTGATAGTAATTTTTCAAAGGGATTATTGTCACTTTTCTGGGTATTTTATACTGTGGTTGATGGGAAATCATGCAAAGGAAAACAGTTTTTCAGATGAATAAAAAGTAGGAGAAATAAAGAAAGTGTTTTTTATGTTTTCAAAAGGGAGACTAATTTGTCTCATTTTATTTTTATCAACAGGGCACAATGTGGGATAAAGGCTACCAACATCACATGGGGCTGACAATAAAAAAAAAAAAAAAAAATGGTAGCAGAGAAAAGAAAGCAAACTTGTTTTTGTGAAATGTTTATGAAACTTTGTTTTATTGTGATTTGAGTCCTCATGCTCTGACATTTGATTAGATTTATTTGTACCTTGTCATGTGCTTTACAGTCACTAAAAATTGACCCCACCCCCCCCCCCCCCCCCCCCCCCCCCCCCCCCCCCCCCACAAACATTTTGTGGATTTTGGAATTGAGTCTCATTCTATAATGGTAATGGGGCCTTTATTGGTTTGGTTTGAATCTAATGGTTACAGAATTTTCAATCTAATTTCAATATGAAAAAACTGAACAAAATTACAAGTGGGATACAAAGATAAAATAATTCACCCATATCAAAGATTTTGGAATTCAATTGAAATAGTTATTACTTCTTAGGTTTTTTATTTTTTTAGTGTTTTTTGGGTTAGTTTATGCGTATTTACTTACTCTGAGATCTTGAAGTAATGATCAGGTAAACTTTCATTGACCATCTCTAATAGGAGGTCGAGGTGAATTGAATTTAAGTCTTTTAAGTAATACACTCAAAGTCTTGTTTATCATCGACTACCTAGTGTTGGTTATCTACTTCATAGGTTTGATTTCTTCTAAAGATCATTAAGTTTCGAATTGTTTTAACGATTTTTGGAAATGATTAAATATATATTTTTTTAATTATTGAAAAACTCAAATGAAAAACTATATATAAAAAGACGTTGCAAATAAATCGTTGAAGACGAAAAAGAAGTTAAAAGGGTATTTTATTTTTTAATACCTGAGGTGTCTATGTTAGTTTACGTGTACTTAACTAATTTTTAGGAGAAGTTATTCTACAACAACTAGCTGCCATTACTCCCTAAGTAAATCATGAACAAATGTATTTATTTTTTCCATCAATTAAACAACATCTAAACTATTAGATTATAATATAGATTTGTATGAATTAATAAACAAATTTAATTCCTTCTCAATAATGAAGACCTTTTCCAATATCTCATTTTCCTCTTAAGTAGGAAAGTGATATGGATAATTATTGTATTTCACTGTAAATTAAATTAGATTTTCGGGAGAAGATGCAGGAGCAGGACCAGCATTGCTGACTTTATTCATGGGATTTTAGGTTGCATTAAATGACTCTTTGATTGTTATATAGAAAATTGATATAATTACACACCCATGGCCCATGGGTAGCTTGTGTTAAGGGCGAACACACAAGGGCGAACTGAGGTGCTGTGCATGACTTCAATTAATGGTCTCAAGATCGTTCAGCCTATAATCTCAAGTTTGGTTCTTTATTGGGCACAAATATGCAAGTTGATGTGGGCACAATTAGTCGAAGTGCGTATAAACTAGTTCGAACACCTCAATTAACAGAAAAATAATATAATTTAAATATAAAAATTATTTATATTTGTAGTTGTATGATATTTAAAGGAAAATAATATTGAAAAATTATAAAGAAACAAGTACAGTTAGCACTGGGCAAATGGCAATGATGGGTCTGTATATATACACAATATATATTCACTGCATGCTAATAGTTTCTTACTAGACTTGTATACAGCCCTTTTAACCTTTACGAAATCTTAAAGCAAGGGATTTGTTTTCTTTTCATATTGATAATCTTACGTTCAACTTCAATCATCAAGTAGTTTGATTTGAGGATTTTTATAAGAAAAGGACATAAATTTTAGATATATTTAAAAATTTTAAATACCCTTTTTGTGCTTTTTAATTTGAACCCATTTATCACTTTAGTGTAGGCGAAAGAACTTTAGTTTTAATTGTTTGAAACAATGTTGATATAACAGTGTATTGTATCATCTGTACGGCAAGTCAGTTATTTCTTAGTAGATTATGTTCTCTTTTTATCTATTCCAATTAGTAGTTAGTTTGAATGGAAGATTTGTCTTAGAAAAGTGCACAAATTCTCATATATGTTCAAAAATTCAAATGCCTTTTTTCTTTGTACTTTTAATTTGGACCCATTTGTTACTTTAGTATAAACAAAAACTTTAGGCTTAATTATTTGAAATAGTTTTAATTTGGAGCCATTTATCACTTTAGTATAAATAAAAACTCTAATCTTAATTATTCAAAAATAAGAAATCTTAATATACCAGTATATTGTATCATCTATGTCAAATCAATCATGTCATATAAATGTTATATTCCTCTTTTATCTATTCTAGTTGGTGATTAATTAACAATCACATTGATAATTTTCTAAAATAAGTAAAAATATATATTAATATTGTTTTGACTCTTTGTGATACTTGAGAGAGGTCTCAATTAATTAAGAATATGTGGTATTATTTTCTAATTTTAATCACTAAAAGTGTGGAAATTAAGTAGAGAGAGGAAAAGGGGTTTGGGTAAGTGGGATAGAAAACAAGCAAAAGAAAGAACTAAAAAGGAGAGTTTTTGAGTATACTTTTTGAAATCTATTAATTTAATCCTTTCCTAATTGTATTGAAAAGTGTAAGAAATTTTAAGCCATGATGAAGATCAACACAAAGCTAATGTTATGCCATCATGAATTTACGAGGATTTGAAGTATATAATATGATTACCCTCTTAGTCTTCAAGAAATGAATATGATCATAGTAATAATAATATAACATTATATAGAATTAATTAAACATTATAATGTTGTAAGTGTGTTCAAGATTAAATTAATGTTTAAAATTATTTCTTTGAAATGGGTATTGTTTTACACAAGCATAAGGCAATGAGTATCATTAATTCTTATTTGTTTTGACCACATTATTTAATTATTTATCAATTAATGAATCTTTGAGAGTTCCAATAAATAAATAAAGATAAGCTAGTTGACCATAAATTAAAATAATACAAGTTATAATAGAAGAAAAATCTATCTAGGTCATGTTGAATTTGGGCTCTTTGCTCTATGCATATGAATTTTGGAATGTTACATAAAGTCACACACAATTAAGGCATTTTTAAGATATGAATATAAGCTTAATTAATTAAGGCTCATAGGTTTATGATTAGTCAAATTGAATTGGTCTAAAGATATAAGGTCTAATACATGTAGATCCACTTGAATTATTACAAGAAAATCAAATTGATTTAAGGTCTAATATCATTTAAGAATTTAAGTTTTAAAATCTATAAAACATGGTCACAGAACATAATCTTCATCGTTAAAGATAAAAGAATTTTGTATAAAAACTTAAGTACCCGCTAACTTAAAAAAACTATAAAATAAAAAGTTAAACTGGGTTATGATTCTCTAATATATATATATATATATATATTTTTTTTTTATATCTTTTAACGATTATGGTCGGTTATGTGATAATTTTAGTGTCGATTTTTGAAAGAAATGATGAATACAATATGTATAAATTCATGTATTAAAACCTTCTTAACATTAATATGTTGTTTCTTTCTCATACCATGTGTTAATCTTTGTTTTTATTTTATCTTATTAATCCACAAAAATAGTGTTTTGGGTTTGAGCAATCCTCTAAATGAATATATTTGAAAGAAATTATCACTATGCATGCCTTCATGTGAATAGTCATAATTAATGCTTGTAATTAATATAATTAATTAATTTAAGCTTGTTTAATTTATTTCTTTTGTATGAAGCATGTTTTTGAAAGGAAAAAAAAATTAGCTAAATACATACTACATGCATCATTCCCAATTAAGCTTTAGTCATTGATAATTTATTGTGATTCTAGAAATCTTTCAAAACCTACCATAGTCAACATTGCTTATTTATTTATTTTTTAACATCCGTAGGTAATTCGGATGATTAAGACAAACTAAAAGTAGTGTGGATAAATGTTTGGTCTCAGGTTCAGATTCTTCATCTAAGTTTCTGCGATTTAAGTGGAGAGCTGTGGCGATAGATACGTAAGTTGATTCGGACACCTTAATTACAAATTTTTTTTTCATTAATTTAACAACTAACAAAATTAATAAATTTTAAAATTAAATCCACATAATTTTCTTACATATTTTAGAATGTTTATTCAATTTCTATTTTCTAACCCTTGACTTGAGGATATTATTTATTTATTTATTTATTTTTGCTAGATATTGAGATTGTCTTTTTTATTCTATTTTATCTTATTTTATTCTTGTGAGTTGTGACCATTCAAAAAATGCATTTAATGCATATTTATAACTGCAAGCGATTTGGTTTACTGGGACCAACAAAAAGATTAAAGAGTAAAAATTACCGAAAAACCCCAAATCTTTAGGTCAAAAATTCAACCCCCTACTGGTTTTAAAAACTATCAAAAATGGTCCAAAAACTTAAAGGTGTTTGACTGTTTGTACAATCCTGTGTTGGGTCAAACCCCACAGCTCAAACACTCAAAGACAGTCTTCATGGTACAAACCATGAACTTCAGAATGCAGTTTGTTCAGGTCAAAGAAAGCTTAGTCAACCCCAAAGTTCGAAGATTTGATCAGAATAATTATATATTTGACTCACATTTTACTTTCTTTTCATTTTAACCCCTTATTTTTTGTTTGATCAAACTCATATCAATTTAAATTCTTAATTTAAAATGTTGATATAACTTTTTCGACCTCTGATCTATTGTAATCCAATAGTTGTCAAGGAGTTAGGGCAAAAAATATTTATAAGATCATCTCTTGTGTTAAAATTTATTTACTGTTTTTGTATGGATCCATTCTCTTTCCTTTTATTTTTGTCATTATTCTTCAATAATTCAAGTACTTCAAATTTGCCATACTTCTACAATAATTCCTGGTATCTCCCTCTGTCATTTATACTTAAAAATAGTAAAAGGCTGATTCCAAAAATCTTTCACATCAGAGATAAGGTCCATAATTGTTCATATAGCATATGGGCTTAAGCAAAAATCCA